CTATTTGCACACCCCACACCCCACACCCCACATCAACATCTCATCCTGCAGCTTTAGAGCCCTTCTATCCCTACAAAGAGGTTCAGGGTTTACGAGTCGCCGCAGGTCACCAGGAAAAAAAAGAGCTTTGACCACCAACACCTGTCGCGCGCTGCAGAGGAGGCCTCCGTGTGGCAGATGTGCTGCAGCAACAATGGGTCGGTATCGATTTGCACGCGCCTGCCTGCCTGCCCTGTGGCCATGCAAGCTGATCCTTCCTAAAATAGCTCAGTGTTTGAACCTCCCTCAGCTGGTTCCAAATCAAACGTTAGCATGCAGCTGATGTGCTGATGAGTTTGCAGAAAGTAAAAGCGATGATATATACATAAACACATTTGGTGTAATGCACAGATAAGAGTTGTGTTGTTATAAAAAACAAACACTTTGAGCCTTCTAGCACGTGTTTATAGCGCAACCCGAACTTGATTTACATCTGCCTTTACGTGTCTGGCACCATTTGGAGATAACACTTTTCATTGTGAAAGTTTAGCCCATAAGCACGACTCTTTGGCATTCAAATTTAATCAAAACTCAGACAACAGCCTGGCGAATGTGGAGACTTGTAGACAAAGGATCGGCGCGCCCAGGGGTCGGTGTTGACCTGGGTTTAGGAGAGGGGAGAAGGGGGGTCCCTCATAGCGACAGTTCTCCATCTGCCGTTCTCCCTGCTGCAGAACAATAGCGCTGAATCAATCACCGCCAACCTGTGTCTCCTGCACAGCCAACCCCCCTCCTCTATTTACGCAGCAGTGGCAGCAGGTCTGACCTGATGCGAGATGAGCTTTGGATTATTATGCAGATAGAATAGAACCAAATAAGCACGAACTATTAGGGAGATACTGCGTTATCAGTAAGCCAGATGTATTTGAGTCGTGCGTAAAAGTTTAGTCGTGCGTAAAAGTGATCACAAATGAATAGAAGGTTCACAGAAAAATAGTTTATAACCTATATATGGATGGATATAGATAAAGACATTTAGTGTATCTAAACACACTTGTAAAAATATGACCTAAATATAGTTGTGCTTAAACGTTTGGTCGTGCGTAAAAGTGAAACAAAAGGGTGTCATAAACAACTGAATTTAAATGCACAGATAAACATCATCAAAACAAATGTTGCATACACAGATATAATACATTGCGTAAAAGTTTCTTGATTCCTAAAGTTGTCAAAAATAGGTTTAATTCAATCCTCCAGATGGAGACATTTGATGACTCCACCCACCAAAACTCAAAACAAAAGTGCAATCAACTTCACAAGTTCTGCTTTAGAATTCAGTTCGTGTGGCCCCTGAACTCCCCAGAGTAAATACATAAAAAGCGAGCAGGGCCAGCTGATGGTGGACACGTGGTCAGCATGGGCCAGCAGTGCAGATTGCGCAGCACCCACAGCGTTCTGGCACGCGCTCCTCATTTGCATTTGTATGGATGGCCGTAATAATAGAGGGCTTCTGTGCTCACAATGGGCCGTTTTTATGGCCAGCCTCTAGTCCACAGATGGCATCATCCACCTGCCCTTTCACTGTGCTGGAGGGGGAGGGGGCGCTGCACACTTTCTCCATGTTGGTGCTGCAAAATGTCAACAAAAAACCTAAAAAACAAGAAAGATGTCATTTCAGATTGAATGTTTGAAAGTCAGGAAGGTGCATTATGGGGTTTAACAAATGCTGCTGAAGATGTGCACATGTAAATGAATCATATCAGTTAGTTTGGATCATTTTAGGATAAAATCTCAGTTATTTTCTATTATTTTGTCCCCACTGTTGCACACATTATGCAGCTTGTGAGTTTTAATAATTATTATAAATGCATGCAATGTTATGCATGCTTAACAATTATATTATATTATGCATTTTTATCCTTAATTTGGAAATGGTTTGGTTGCAGCAGCATACAAGGCACTGCACATGGAGTTAAACATATAACGAACATAAAACAAAATGATCATAAACTGTGAAGATCGACATGCAAAACATTGGAAAAATAAATATATATAAAGTAGAATAAATAATATGAAATATACAGAAAGGCTGAGTTTTCTGTCATTTGCACTAAAGTGCTAACACTTCTTTTTATTTTAATGAAGCTATTTTTAGTTTCAGTCCAGGCTGCAAGCACTCAGAGGGGGGGCGTGCGTGGCTCGATGACCCCCATCAATCTGCCACGAGCCACAGTGTGACAATAGCATTATCATACCAATACACCATTCATCTCCCAGCCAATCAGGGCGCAGCGCTTTCACTGCCCCGCACGAGCTGCAGAGTATAAAGAGGGGAGGCTGCGACTCAGAAGGCACTCTACTCCCTTTCGGATTTACTGAAACTATCTAAATCTATTTCCTTCGTGGAATAATCTTCATCATCTTCATCATGACTCTTGAAGAAGTTCTGATCCAGAAGCCCATCGAGCGTGCCCAGTGCACCGGTAACGCCTTGGAAGAGGTCCTGGTGACCGCTAAAGAAAACGACTCCCTGACTGTTGGCGTCTATGAGTGCGCCAAAATTATGAACCTGTAAGTATGAAACTCCCAACTGAATGTTTCAACATTTAAATCAGTGATTTTACACACTTTGGGTAGGTTTTGGATGGAATCTCATGGCTTGTTGCTTTTATTTTGTCCCTACAGTGATCCAGACAGCGTGTCTTTCTGCGTCCTGGCCACGGATGAGGAGTTCGAGTGCGATATTGCTCTGCAGATCCACTTCACCCTCATCCAGTCCTTCTGCTTTGACAACGACATCAGCATCGTCAGAGTGAGCGACATGCAGCGTCTGGCTGAGATCGTTGGAGACAAGGCGGAGCAGCTTGAAGATGCCCACTGCGTCCTGATCACGGTATGTAGAGCTCAGAATATGTGGTTCTAAATCATTTGAGAAGTGTATTTTTGGTGCTTTTTGGAAAGGAGCACATCACTAAACCATATTTCCTCTTCATTTTCAACAGAACCCAGCTGAAGGGTCTTGGGAGGACCCTGCTCTGGCGAAGCTGCACCTGTTCTGTGAGGAGAGCCGCAGTCTCAACGACTGGGTTCCTGAGATCAGCCTCCCCGGGCGCTGATCGGGCCTCGGCTCCTCTCTATGCTCAGATGCTGTTAAAGCTTCTCATCTAGGAATACTCATCCTGACGGATGACCCTGTTTCTGCTCATCCCTGGATACTCCTGAGGAGGATTTCCGTCCAGGCAGCACGGCGCCGGCCCAAGGTGGCCCCCCGTGAACCGTCGCCTCTTGTCCCGTCCATGCCAAGATGACTCTCCTTCTTTATGTGAATGAGAGTCCGGTATGCCACAAGAGCGACGCATCGACCCTCATTCTTTGTGTGGATGAGGTTTGGAGAGGGAGGAGATGCGAGTGTTGCGTCCTGTGGTCCCACAGAGCAAACGTCGCACGTTGAAAGCACGCGCAGCAGGAGAAGAAGCGGTGCTGAGGAAGAGGTTGTCTAAAAAAGAGACTTTTTGAAGACGACCTCTTCGCTGAGTAACATGACAACAGTTGCAATCAGCGGATATGTTTCCCACTTTCCAGAAATGTCTTAATTCTCTAAAGGTTTCACTTTAGAAATTTAACGATGACAACAAATATTCTAAAATATAAAAAGAAAATAATGAGAAAAGTTTATTCTCTAAAGGTTTCACTTTAGAAAATGGCTTAATAAAGTAAAAAAACAATGATAATTGTAATATTGTCTTATAAACATATAATTATGTAAGACAGAAATGAAACTATGAACTTGTGATCATGATGTTGACATTTTTTGGAAAATGTTTGAAAAAAATAATGTTTATCTTCTAACAGTTTCACTTTAGAAATTGTAAGTGGAAAACGCTTAATAAAAACAAAACAAAGAATACGATGGTGTGTTGTGTTTTCACTTTCTCTTGCAAAGATGAGTTGTGTGTTTTGGGTTGACGGGGTCAGAGAAGAGGGAGGGGGGGTAATGAAACTAACAAAAGTTTCAAACTCAGCAGATTTGCATGGAAGGCGCTAAGGCCTGTCATCTGGTGTGCCTGCAGTACAAAAAAAACCCTCCGTGGTCCCTCCTCCAGCAGACCTCATCTGCATGTGTATAGATCCGGGCACAAAGGCTGCAGCTCCCGGCCTGTCAGCTCCAGCGGGCCGCACAGAGCTCCCATTGTTCGGCCTGCAGATGTCTCTCCGCAGCCACGCCGCGCCATCTGCCGCGTCCTGCAGGTGGGGGTCGGGGAGGGCGGCCTGGGAGGAGCTGGGGAGAGATGGGGGTGAGGGAGTTTGCCAGTGCCAGAGGGGCTGCAGGGGTCGGGTCTGGCTGGTTTGGGCCGGTTTGTCCCGGGCATCATCTGGTGTCCTGCCAGCTGCTGTCGGGACTACTATTTACTAGCAGGCACTTCGCGAAACTTTTGGTAAACAAAGCACAATGACGCGAGATCTGCTCTGCTGCCACCCCCCCCCCCACCCACACACACACAGTTTTTTTTTCCTGCACACACGACTTTTTTTTCCTCAACAATTTTAGGACACAGAACTCATGTGTGCAAGTGTAATAAACACATTATGTCTCTTATTTCCCCTGCACTCCAAAGTGTGCAAAGCTCAAATCAGGTGCACACAAATATTTTGCATGAAATACTTTTTGCACAAAAATCTGGTTTTATTTTGAACTAAAAATGTTTGCGGCTGCAAAGAGCATTTGTGACTTTTTATTCAATTTAAAGTGTCCAAAAGTAACAATAAGTTACATTAAATGATTACTATTTGTATAATGTTCATCTCTAACTTGAGCTTTTTTCTTTGAATCAGATCTCCAAACCTAAAAAAAATTAAATAAAAAAAGCAGGAGTCAGAATCTTTATTTATTTTTTATTTCACAACCATTAGGTTTGTTTAAATGTGTCAGGCACTTTTAAAAAACACTTTCTGCTATTGAAGGAAATGAAAAATAATATTTAAAGCACAAAACTGCAAAAAGTGTGGAAACACAATGTGAAATGTAAAAAAACAAAAAAGCCACTAATTCCATGCTTGTAGAAAATATATAAAAACAGTTCTGCCAGTCTTTTTATGAGAGCACACAGAGTTTGGATGTGTGTTTGAGGCCCCTGTAGGTGCTGAGCCCCTCCCTCTTGGGGTCGCTCACCATCCCTCGCACCACCGGGGGACAGTCGCAGCCCCTCCTCTTCTGGGCGCGGTGCAGCAGGATGCGGTACACCCCCGTGACGGGGCTGCGGCTGTGTTTGGTCTGGCTGTCTGGCAGGTGCTCCGCGCTGAAGCCCAGCTCCTCCAGCGTGGCCCTCACCTCCTCCTCCACCTCCTCCTCCATGCTGCCCCGCTCCGAGTCCAGCAGGCTCTGCAGAGAGCTCGACGGCTCCGGGTGCACCAGGGACCAGGGGAACTCCACAGGGAGGAGCCAATTGCAGCCCATCATCTGGTCCAGGGCGTCGCGCTCGTCGGGGGCCGCCTTCAGGATGCCCTTGATGAGCCTCTGGCAGGGGCCGGGCACCCAGGGCGGCACGGTGTAGGCGCACTCGATGACGCAGCGCCGCAGTTTTCCAATGGTGTCGGCGCGGAACGGCATGGTGCCGGTCACCATGAAGAAGAGCACGACCCCCATGGCCCACACGTCCACCGGGGGCCCCAGGTAGCACTCCTCCCTGAACAGCTCCGGGGCGGCGTACGGCGGGGAGCCGCAGAAGGTGTCCAGCGCGTCGCTGCGCTCGGAGATCTGCGTGCTGAACCCAAAGTCTGCCACCTTCACGCAGCCGGTGCTGGTGAGCAGGACGTTCTCCGCCTTCAAGTCGCGGTGGATGATGTTGCGGTTGTGCTGCACGGTGAAACATAATTAAAATGGATTAAAATGATAATGGAATCCATAAAAACATAGTGATCAGACACGTTTTAAACCAATCCACTTCCTTAAAACAAATCATACAACTTAAGCTGAAGACACAAGCTGTGTTCTTCACGTTTGTTCTACGACCAATAAATTGTTTTTACAGTTTTGAAATCAGTTAATACCCCACTTGTGAATGTCCGAAGCATTTAGGTGTCTTAATAACAACTGTTGCTAACACGTTTTTAAACGTCATCTTTCGCTTAGCGGTGGTGCCATGCGATTGTGATGTAGTTTGTTTATAGCCGAACCTTTTCATTTCTGGCTACTCCATTTATGCCTCAAAAATCATAAAAGTTGTGGTTCAATTTGGAGATCATCCTACATAACGTGTAACAAATATAAATGTATGTTTGACATAGGGCTTGTTTTCTGCTTATTCCAAAGTCCAACAGAAATATTCCATTGCTTTTTGTTGAGGGAGCAATGCTAACTTCCTGGTTCGCCTCGAAAAGATGTCATCACTGCACCGCTGTAGTGTTTCTATGCTCTCAGTTGAGTCCCTGCAATCAAGCTGCAACATAAAATATCTGATAACTTAATAGACTAAATAAATACAACTTCACGGTGGTAAAAATGAACCCAGAGTTTGATCTCTCACCATATATTTGATGGCAGAGAGGATCTGGGCGAAGGTGATCTTGCAGGTGACGTCGGACAGTTTGGTCTCGGTGCAGATCCTGTTGTGCAGGTCTCCTCCTCCGGCGTACTCCAGCACCAGGAACAGGCGGCTGGGCGTCTCCACCACCTCGTACAGACACACCACGTTGGGGTGGCGCAGGCTCTCCATGGTGCTGATCTCCCTGGAGAGCAGGCGCTGGGCGTGGCTGTCCAACCGGGTCCTGTCCAGGATCTTCAGGGCCACTTTGTCTATGAGGAGGACACAGGGGCATTACATTCAATGAACAGAACATGTGTTAAGGTCAGATTTTGATACTCATAATATTTTAATTTAATACTATGTAGTGTTTGGATTGTTGGACAGGCAAGAAATGTGTTTGAAGACATCACTTTCAGCCTGTCTGTTGATATCTTAGTGCTGTAACAGTTATTATAATTGATTATGAATCATCACAAAAACAGAGATTCAAATGTACATTAAGTTTTGAACACAAACTTACACACTGAACAACCTTTCTTATTAAATACAAAAACAGTTACCAACTGTAATGATCACATATCTACTCACCTGAGCAAAAGAGCCACACTTTCTGTGGTTCTGATCGCTCTAATTTCCTTACTTTTATATCATTCATAAAATATCTTGGGGTTTCGATCTGTTTGAAAACATCACATTGGACTCTTGGATCTTTTTGAATGAGTTGTTCCACTACTTCCTGACATTTTAGATATGATCTTCTGATCTACTGATAATGAAAATACTGTTTTTTTTGCAGCCTGCATTACTACTGCACGACATCTTATATGAAATACTACTAAAGAGTTCTGATTTACTAATAATGAAGACAAAAGCAGAAGGACCAGAGTTTTGCTAACATGACCTGGAGTTTGGGTTATGTAAATGTAATTCATTAAAGGTAGGGTCGGTACATTTGAGAAACCGGCTCGAGATCGCTAGAATTTGAAAATACACAACCGGAGAAAATCTGCCACTTCCTTACAGAGCCCCTCCTCCAACACACACGAACGCGCACATGACCAATGAGGGCACGAGATAAGTTTGTGCACAGATGGAAGGCTGACAGGCAGGTAGGCCATCCAGTTATTTTAGCCGGGCCGGCTCAAATGATTGATCGTACTTTTTACAGTATTACAGCTTCCACAGATGACATTTTATTATGGATTTTTTTGTCAAAGCACTTAAAATATTCATTGCTATCGGGATGTTAAGAGCATTCCATGGAATATAACAAAAAGTGTATCTCGAGCCGGTTTCTCAAACTTACCTACCCTACCTTTAAGGAATTATTATATTATATGTGCCTAGTGTCTGCATCCATGAATGTCAAGTCAAGCATACAATACCCACAATGCATCATATGATTGTGAACACCTGATGGGTGGGTGTCATTTTTAGAGTTGTGCAATACTCTACTTTATGTGTAGTGTGTATAAAGTGTATATGCAGACTTTTGTTGTTCCTGATATTTAACAAGAGACTCCATCCACTATAACTTAGCATGAACCCCCATACCCAAAAGCTGTGTATAAGCTGAGTGTATCCCTTTTGTTTAAGTAAAAGGGATTGGACATTAAAGCCATGTGCACAAGTGAAAGGATCCCAGGCAAAGGTTAAAGGTTATTCCCACAGTCTGATATCTTTTACATGCACCTTTAGTCAGAGCGTGGAAAGCCAACTTGACCCTGGAGAACGTCCCGGAGCCGATCTCCCCGCGGACCTTGTAGAAGCCCACCCTGCGGCCCACCACCAGGTCCTTGATGGTCTTATCGTCCTTGCACAAGTCTGTGGTGAGCTTCTGCAGGGGGCTGGGGCGCGGCGGGGGGTACGCCTCCTCGTCCTCGGGGCCCACCTCAGAGGTGTCCGTCAGGCTGTACCGGCTGTGGTGGAGCCTGGTGCTCGCCACCTGGTACTGCCTACCCAGCATGCCTGCTGCCGGCTGAAGAGCGGCTCATCTGCAAAGACACGGTTACAAAGTCTTTGACTGCTCATTGTTTGGTTCAGTAGTTTGGTAACTGTTTACCTTGTAGCTAATAGGATGTTAAAAACCACATTTATATTTCACTGGAAAGTGCATTAAGAGAGGGTAAGAGGTGATACCAGATGCCTGTTCCTTTATTATCAATTATAATTATTCTACACCTGAAGTCATCTGGTGCATCACAGTAGGGCTGCAATTAAAGATTATTCTTATTATTACATTTAATAACTTTAAAAGTTGGAAAATAGTATAAAATTCAATTTGTTGCATACAGGCTAAGGTAATGTCTTTACATCGCTTGTTATGTCAGTCCAACACAAAATATATGAACTCTAACATTATAATAAAGAGAGGAAAGCAGCACATCTCCATATTTAAGATGCTGAAAACACAATTTCTGGCATTAAAACATAAAAAAAAAATAGTAAAATTATTGGTTTTTTTTGGGACCTTCTTGATAAAGCTCTACTTCATGGTAGCAATATGACGTAGGACTTTAATAGATGCCTTACAACAGTTTGTACCCATAATACTGCACGTTTACTGGACTACCATTGTGTAAACTTTTAAATGGCTATATAACTATTTAACAAAGACATCAAGAATATAGAAAAAGACTTGTTTCTTACCAAGTTTCCAAACTGCTGTCAGCCGTGGACTCCATTACACGCAGAAGTGGTTTCGGCAACCACCTTTTTTTACTTCGTACGCTCACATGCTGGCTGTCTGTGTCCTCCAGCAGCCCACTGTACCCAGCTCACTTGTTCCTCTCCACTGATGAAGGATTAAGGTGGTGTCATGAACTCTAATCCTGGTTTAAACTTGCTTCGATGTCAATCCCTTCAAATGGCTTGCATCACCTCACGGCATCAAAAAGTGGCCAAAAGGGATTCAAAAGATGACGAATGTGAATATGTATTTGTATCCACAGTGTGCATAACTACAGTATTGGTTTGCAGGTGTTGTGTGAGACACTATGGAGTTGATCACTGGGCTCTTGTGAAGATGAAATGTTATGTAAGGGTGTAAGGCGATGTTCCTAGAGAGATTAGCTCCCTCTGTCCGTCCGCTTTAGAAGCTGAGCAGCAGAGATAAAGGGATTACAAAACTCCAGGTCACACTGCAGCAGGAGGAGCGTTTTATACAGGTGTGGTGTCCTTGAGGGGCAGCGGAGGAACAGCAGGGACATACTACACTCAAAAGTCCTCAAGAGAGTTATTAACGCCTACTTGGAGCACCATTGTTTTCATTATTGACTGGTCTTTTTCATGAAACTTCTTGTTCATTTTACACTTTTTCCAGCCAAAAAAACCCTAAATATATTCAGCTTACAACATTTAGTGCTACAGCTTTTATAGCGGCAAACTCAGCACCTTTAAAATATTTTATTCTCAGGGTAAATTGACATATTCTTATTGTACTTACTTTTATCTACATTTTCTCATCTTGTAAATACTTATTTTTATACATTTAGCTTTTCAAATTGTGAGGCTTTATTTTAAAACTTTCAGGATGTTTTAAACAGGGCCATATACTTCACAGAGGTCTCTTCATCTCCAAAACAAACTGACCTGTTGATAAAAGCTGGTAAAAACAACTGAAAACCTCAGATCCAGACGTCTGATGACTGATATCCTTCATCCGGTTTGAATGTATAGTAAGAAACAACATGGATGTTGAGAGTAAAAATGTACTTAAAACTGGAAACAATTTCAATTTATAATGAGTTTCTGGCAGACAACCACAACTCTGATAATTGCACAAAGGAGATACAGGCCACCAAATGAAACGGTTACCTTGGTTAAAATCTCTGTTGTTCTGAAAATTGTAGGATACATTGGGAAAAATTGAATTACACAACTCAACCAAACATGTTAAATGGGTCTAGTCGTTTTTAGACATTTTAATGTGGAAATTGTACATATTATGCATATTCATTTTATTTTCAAAATCCAATATAGTTGCAGTGTCGGTATATATATATATTACATATAATAAGCAACCACAGGAATGCTGATTTGGTATTAATGTTTGTAGGCAGGAGTAATGCTCAGGAGCCCTTTTGAACTCATAAATATACATTTTCTCAGGGAACACTCCACTGTCATCTAATAAATAAATTAGTAAAAGTCAGTTGATATAGCCAAATAAAGAAACAGATTTTTAAATGTATTCAAGTAGATGTAAAAGTTCTTCTTAACTTTCATAAAATTCAACAATGGGAACTACAGTTCAAAAGCCCTGCTTGAAAAAAAGTCTAGATACGTAGAACACAAGTTCGTTGAGTCGAATTCTTGGAATGGGATTGGCCTTCCAGCTATCTACTTTACTCACTTCTACTTCTTCAATGCCCCCCCCCCCCCCCCCCCCCCCCCATGCAGGCGTCTGATTGGATTAAAGCCTTAGACAAGAACTTGGCCTGCGGTCAAACGTGCCGTCACCTGCAGAGTCTAGCATTAAAGATCAAACAAGCAGTATGTAAAGTACGTCAACATCTCTACAGGAACTGGTTTTCTTGTAAATGAAACTGATATATACAAATATGGAAATGGCTTTAGTCCTCTGAAGGAGACTCATGCACCTGTGGAGCTTCTGAACACCTAGACCTTCCTCTTCTTCAGCCGGCTGTTCTCTTCCAACTCTTTGATTCTCTGACGCAGAACCGCAATCTCTTTGTTTTTCTCCTCCTGGAAGAACTGCAGCTTCTGTGGACACACACACACACACACACACACACACACACACACACACACACACACACACACACACACACACACACACACACACACACACACACACACACACACACACACACACACACACACACACACACACACACACACACACACACACACACACACACACACACACACACACACACACACACACACACACACACACACACACACACACACACACACACAGTGATGATGTTTAACTAAATAATCCACTTTGATTCAGGGATTCTTAGGAATGGTTGCTATTAGCTGTTATCCCTTATGTATTCTCTTGATAATGCAGCCTTCTAAATGCACATTACAGATGACCAGACTGTAAGGTGACATCCTCACATTTCCATATCCTTCACAATGATATGGAAAAAAGAAAAGCAGCACATTCTCACATTAGAAATATGGCACAAGAAGCTGTTAGACATTTCTTCCAAGGTTCTGAGAACTTGATGTGCCCGACACAGCTTCTAACAATTAGAGCTGACACGATTAATCAATTAACAATTAATCAAATTAAACTAACAGAGTAGTCGCAAACTACATTGATAATCTGTTTGACACACACATTTGAATATCTTTTTCTGTTTGGGCTTTGGAACGACGGATCCACGTTTTTCACTTTCTCCCATTTTATAGACCCAAGTATACACACATATATATATATAACAGTGTTTCCCCTAGGTTTACTGCTTTGGGGGGGTGCTGCCTGAGCGTGGAGGGGGGGGGGTGGGGTGGTATTGGGATATATATAATCCTCTGGAGCAGAGAGAGGAGCTGTGGATTATTGTTATTGATTACTGCATCAGTGTTCCTTAGGGTCAAAAACCCTAAACTCACAACTTAAAAGAGTTTAGTTTATTTAATAAAAGAGCACATGTTCAATGTGAAAAGTGACAGTAGATATAGATCAGTTGCAATTTGGTGCTATATATATATATATATATATATATATATATATATATATATATATATTTTTTAAACACCTTGAATTTCAGGGGGGGCGCGGGGCTCCGTTGGCGGAAGACAATGGTAGGGGAAACACTGTATAAGTATAAACTAGTACTAAGCGCACTTTTAGGCGCACAGGTGTGGCTGGTTCCGAGGGTTACATAATTACATCATATATTTACACCAGTGCAAATATATTTTTCCCTCAGAAAATAAAGTCTTGTTGAGCTCCGTCATCAGTAGTGCAAGAGCCCACAGCAGCGTTGTCACAAAGCATTCACCTTAACTCAAAATATCGAGGAGATCTTTACTTGGCAAATGAGAACCAAACATATGCATTAGCGCTGTCGCCTCTCAGTGTGCAACCTAAATGATGATGGGGCATGCTAGGAAGTAGCTTCTAGGATGTTTCTTAGAAGCTGGGGAATTACAGGATGAGACATCCAGGTTAAATCCAATACAGTTTGCTTTGATCTCAGCGGAAGTAGTGAAAGGTTTAAGGTTCAAATCTCACTCCCCTTGCACGATTAGACATCACTTTGGCTCATGAAGTTCTCCTCATTCTTGCACAAACTGCTTGACAGTGGGAAAAACCTTCCTGCACCACGGATAGATCACTTTTTTATGTGATTTGTACCTTGTTAGTTAACCTCTGTAATCTTGCACTAATATTTTGCACATTCTATGGACAATTTTGCATTAATGTACATTCTCAAATATTGAAGTGACTGTTATTTTGTATATATTGATTGTTGTGTTTTTATTTAGGTCTTAATGTGTGCACATGTAAAAATGTGTCTTTGATTCAGCGTATATACATATCTGCACACATACCTTTATATACATTTGTTTTTATATTCGGGATTGTGGGAAACGGTATTTCGATCTCTCGGTCTGTACACACAAACTGGAAGATTGACAATAAAGTTGACTTTGAATGAAGTAGTGTGTGGGCTGCTCACCCTCTTGAAGACGCTCTGAGGAAGCAGGTTGGAGCCATGCTGCTGCTGCTGCTGCTGCTGCTGCTGGCTCCACTGAGCTGTACTCTGAACTCTGGCTAACTTCGCACCAAACTGTCAAAACGTACACAGCAAAACAATCACAAGCTGCTTTAAGAGAAGCTGGACCTTTATATTGGGTAATCATAATCAATAAGTCTGTTTTTACATCGCTTCTTAAAACCCACCTCTTCTCCTTAGTGTATTGAAATCTTTTAGATTGTTGCATTTAAATTGTTATTTACTTGTACTTGTTTTATGGTGTGTGAGCTGTGCTGTGTGATTTGTTTATTTGACCCTCTGAGTATAATGTTAACATCTAATCTACTTCTTTTTTTAAAAGATTTTCTTTTGGGCCAGAGTGCCTTTATTCCAGAGAGGGTGTTACATTGAGAGATAGAGGGGAAGACATTGCCAGAAAACTTCGGCGGGCTCGGGTTTCGAACCCACCTAGTAGCTACTGTAGTGACAACTCCTGTCATTGATTGCATCTCTGCGTGAATGATTAGATCATTTCACCTAAATGAAATCAAATGAAATGATGTTGATGGTTAAATTAGCTTCACATGTAGGCCTACTGAGTTCCATTTAGATCTATAAAGGCCTTGGGGCTATGTTGTTTGATTTAATTAAACACAATATATGCACTTCTGTCTCCACTGCTGTTGTAGTGTTAACTGTATCTGAAGCTCTTAATATGATTGCTCATATTTCAAGCCATCTTTTTCCCGGCCCCTTGCTTTGGATCATTTTCACCAACCGGCCCCATTCCAAACTAATTGAATAGCCCTGCTGTACAGCACTTTGGTCTGGAGGTTTTAAAGTGCTTTATAAATACAGCTGTATTGCATAATAACCCAATACCAGGCTATACTTATTCAATGTGGGCATTACACAACAGTCTTGTCAACTCAGAAAAAAATAATTGTTTGTGACTTCTTCTTTATGTGTGGTGATATCTCCAGCAGAAGCTTTTTCTTTACCTCCATCTGTAACTTGAGGAGCTCGCTCTGCCTCTCCCTCTCCTGACCCTTCAGCCTCTTCTTCAATTCCCCCAGATCCAGATCCTTTTTCTCCAAAAGAGTCTTTACTTCAGCATCTTTAACGTCCGCTGTCAGAAATATACATATATACATTTTTACTATTTAGGTCTTTTGCCTCTGCTCTCTGATGCTGGCGGCTGACATCATTGTTGCCATGAAGCTCTAATATTGTCACTTTAATATCGCTTGACTGGAAATTGAAGGGAAAGAGGCTTAATACCTTTGCTTACATTAGACATTTAAATATATATATATAAAAGGACACATCTGACAAAATGTATCAACACGTATGTATCACTTAAAATTCCACTTTTACTGAGTTTTATCTTTTTACCAACATCAATCTCTATCACATATTCATACATTTTCTGAATGGTAACCCTTTAAATTACAGTTTCTTTAACCCTTATGTTGTGTTCGAGTCTCCCGTGACAAGTTAAAATTATATAATAACTACGCTCTAGTTTTTTCTATCGGAGCAAGGCTTCACGATATCGATGATTTTGACAATTTTAGCCAAGTCTGAAGGTCTCTAAAAAAGAAAGTGTATAATTTGGTGTTCGGGTCTGGGGAGACCCAGCAGCATTGTTTTGGGGGACTCGGGGTCAAATTTGGCACAATCAAGATTCATCTTTGACTTTAGACACCCCACCCCCACCCCCTTCATCCACTGTAACAATACTTTAAAACTTTTTTTGGGGAGATTGTATTCGAATAGTCTATTATAGTCAGATAACGTAATGATCCACTGTCTTCACTATAGGAAATATAATGAGTGAATTGAATCACATGTTTTACTTAAATATGTGGTGTAATGTTTTTTGGAACCATACAATTAAATTACAACAGGATTGTACGGTTATGAATGCATAATAAGTTAGTTATGATGTAGTTAAAACAATATTGGATGATAGTCATTATTTGTGAGTGTTTTGGACTGAGATAAATCATGGGTCAAAATTGACCCGCGAACACCATGAACGGTAAAAGCTTTTGAACACAACACAAGGGTTGAAAAATATCCCTGGTGTTATGAAAAAAACAAATATGTTATTATAGTCTGTATACAAAATCTAGGGGGATTATTATATTTCAACAGTGTGGGATATGTTATTATTAGCAACAACATTGATTGAGGAAATTGCTCAGTTTGTTCTCTCTGCTTGAACCTGAGAGTCTTGGGTCAAAAAGCCCCACACCATCCCTGCTCTGTTGTTTAGTTTGTTTCACATTCTCACACACCCATACATTACTGATTTCTAACTTTCACGTTTGTTTTTCGGTTGGTACTAGTTGTTAAATATTGTCATCTTGTGGTTTGACTTACACTGGTGGAGCCCCTCTCTGTGGGCGTCCTCTGCCTCTCTCCTGCTCTGCTGCCTCACGGTCTCTAGCTCCCTCTGGTGTCTCTCTCCTTCTGCTCTCATTTCACCGATGAGCCGCTGAAGCTCAGCTTTTCCATCCTGTTGAAAACCCAACAAAACTAATATATGTATCTCAATGTTATTTCTTATTATTGCCTAACAAGTCAAATGGTTTTTTGTCATTCTCTAATGTGGCAACTTTCACGACAACCAATGTTCCCCTTTTGATTCTGACCACATGAGGTGCTCACAGCTTAGTTTTTTATTTTTTATAAAAAATATATTCATAAAAAATACACATTGCCACTTTTGTATTTAATCATATACATATATTTTTTTCATAAATGTTGTCCCAAAGCTAAAAAAGCTCAACATTCCTTACGTTAATAGTAGGCACACAAACAATTGTATACAACCTAATCAAACGTAAATTCACCTTTTTTAATTTTTTTAAGCAATTCAGATAGTTCTTATTGGTAGCTATTAGGAACAATTCCTACCATAACTTAAAGAAAACAGAACCTTGACCACAGACTATCTATGAAACTGGAAACAATCCCTTTCAATAAAACGTCTTCGTACACTCCTGTATTTAATTAACTTCGCAATAAATTCCTCCTGCTTTCTTTCTTACCTCAGCTGCTCTCTCATTGTGTTGTTTCAGGCTTGCCATTTCACTCTTCAGTCTCTCATTCTCCACTACAATATGGACATATTCAGAAGAATCATTATGAAAATCCCTTTATCTAGAAGTGTACTATAAATAAATGGTGCTGAGTGGTTTCTTACATGTGATAAAAGTGTAATTTTGAATAAATATCACAATTTTGACATTTTTCAAAGCACGACTTGAATCAACTGGAGTGCTATTAAATCCAGCTATTAATTGAAAGTAGACATATTCATTTTAAACTCTTTTGTTAAATCTGTACATACATGGGTGCATAGGATTGTACTTTTTTTTCCCCTGACAAAAGACAGACTGTTTTTTATAAGTAATTGTATTTCTTTTGGGAACATGTGTGTAGTGGGTTATTGTTCAGACCTCTGAGGTTGCACTGCTCCTGTAGAGTCTGCTGCAGCCGGTTCACTGTGACGAGGAGACTGTCTCTTTCTGCAACAAGTAGACCAATAATTAGCAACTATACATATGTATATCATTGGCTTCTGATATAAAAGAAAAAAACTCAATGAGAGACATAAAGCTTATGCCACCACTGAACATTTTTAGGATGTTAAAATGTATAGCTTGAATTTCTGTAGGGAGAAATGTATGTGCAGTCTTCAACAAGGTATTCATTTGTAGAAAGGGAGCAACTATAGAACTACTACTCAAAAAAGTACAATAAGAATATAACAGTTTGCTTTAAGGAGATAAACTATACAAATAATGGCAGTCTGTCCAGATGTAGAGTGGACATGTGCACAATATACTGAAGAATACTTTCATCAATATGTTATCATTGAACCTCAGGGCAAATAATGCTTCCTTATATATCAGCCCATCTTTACATTTGCAGAAATTAAGAATTGGATTTCTGAAATATAGAGAAGCTACAGTAGATCAGGATGGTGTCATTCAGCAGATGTACCAGTAGAGGGAGACATACACAAACAGAATCAAGCTCTACAAGGATCTCAGATCTTAGGAAGTAAATACTGTATAGTACACAAAAACAAAAACTCACCCTCAATCAGACTTTTCTCTTTGGTCTGATAGAATTTCATTTGTCTACTGGCATCCTCCAGCATGATCTCAAACATGTTATTTTTGCCATTAACCTCTGCAATTTTCTGTTTAAAAAATAAATAAAACAAGAGTAAATACTATACATTATACCTACCCACCTATTTATCTATACTGATAGCTGACAATAATCAGGCTCGGGTAGTAATGGTTTACATGTAACGGTTATGTAAATAGGATACAAAAAAGGTAAATATATTCCCTTACAGTTATGTTAAAGAAATATGTCTACAGATTACTGGTACATATTTAAAAACAAAGGGATTTCTAGCAAGATTTCAACTTTTCAACGTAAACATACTATACAATGTATATAATATTTTATAACTACTATATCCTGACTTTTTTCATGATATCATATCATTGACATACTTAACTGATTCCTTCAATCATACTTTACTGTACAACATAATATACCATTAGAGTACTAACATTAGGTTACTGATGATTACATGTTTTCTACAGGTCTTTAGTAATTACAACGGAATACATTTTAGTAACCTTCTCAACTCTGACGTAAATTGACGTTAGGTTAAACACAAAATAAATAGTAAAACATACAAACAAACAAACCAAACATTAGCAGCTAACGATTACCATTAGCTAATGGTAATCATATTCTTTGAACATAACGTTAATAGCATTCCGTTTTTACTTTGATATTGTCAGAAAATGACTGCGGTTAAAATAACTATACGTGTTAATATCAGCCTCCGAGACCTCTATATTATTTGTATGTGAGAAATACAAATTATTCAACTTATCCTGAAGTATAACAAAGTGGAACAAACGGTACAACAGGCAAATAAATAAGACGGTAGTCATCATGAATTAGCCCTCAGTGAGTTAGCTAACGTTAGCTTATGTACCTGTTCTAGCAGAGAGAAGTCGTCCATAAACCTGTCGAGGTGAACACAGTTTAATTTTATCATTTCACTAGTTAAAAAGCAAACGGCTATGGGAAAAGTAATAATATTGTATTAATGCTTAAGTTCCAACGTTAAGTTAGATAAAAACAATAGTAGCTAGCTGTTGGCAACACAATTAAGCTAGCTCTTTCCCGCACGCGCAGGTTAATCATGTGGTTATTAATTAATAGACAGACAACGCATCCGGGTACTTTACCTCTACGCAAGGCCACGCCCTTGAAAACACTCGCTGTCATTTGAATGGCGGTAAATACAAATTCTCAAGATTTCGGTAATCACAGAACATTTACTGAACAGTTGTTTCTATAGACTTACATCATGCATAGCATTCATCACTGAAATTCATTATTAGGATTAAGCATCCTGAAAGGAAGATGCTCATAGGATGTTACTGTAAATGCATTCACTTTTACTTAAATTGAATTTAAATGAAAGACCTAGTGCAGGGGTAGCCAACACGGTGCCCGCGGGCACTTGGTCGCCCGCAGAGGCAACGTGAGTCGCCCGCGGTGCATGTTCTAAAAAATAGCTCGCCAAGCAAATCCAAAATGTATAAAATACACAAAACAAAAAAGGAAATGTAATTAAAATTATCTACCCTATGCATAAACGAAACCTAAATCATAGCGAACTCTATCTACTTACTACAACTCTATATCTATCTAACACCCCTCCTCCCCCCACCCCCAAAATTAATATCTACCAATCACGTTCTTGCTTGATTTGCGGGACCAGCGTTGCAGTCTGGAAGAAAAGCAATGTGGCACCTCCCCGCTGATTTTCCTTCTGGCAGAATCTACACAACACATCAGCCCCATTGAACAGCCTATCATGCAGCCTATACAACACATGGGGGGCAGAGTTTTACTCTGTGTGTTGCAACTTGCATATCTTTATTGCACTTGACGCACACACACGCATGGCGTAATTTCCACCTGGGACAGGGGGGAAATGTCCCCCCCACTTTTCGAAATCCCGTTTGTGTCCCCCCACTTTAAAAATATGTTTATTTTTTTTTTTAACGCAAGCCGTCGATCGCCACGGAGGAGCTCACAGCCTCTGAGCGAGCGAGAGAGCTAGGGAGGGAGAGAGAGGGGGAGAGAGAGAGCGAGAGAGCTGGGGGGGAGGGAGGGAGGGAGAGAGAGAGAGCTAGGGAGAGCATACCTTTATCTATTTAATATAGATAAAGTAAGAAATCATTCCAATGTGTACTATAGGACAGTAAAAAAAAATCAAAAAACAGTTTGAAAGGGGAGTAAAATAAGCATACATAAAAAGAAAAAATGCTAACTAGGTAACATAAGATAAGAATAAACCAGTTTAAATGATTTGTTATTGGTTGTGATCATATTCTAAAGATGTTTGGATTATTGAAAAGTATACAGCTCTCTTTCATCTGAGTGTTGAGAGCTGTATCCATCAATTCATGTTGTGCTCAAAGTGCTCCAGATTGATGCATTTCACTTCAACATTAAAAAATAATCTTCCTGGGGGTGCATGCCCCCCGACCCCCCTAGAGGAGGTGAGGACCCCCCTGGAGGAGGTGAGGCCCGTCCACCCCCAAATAAAGCAGGTTAAAATAATTAGATTGCATACATGTTCTTTTAGTAAACACTGCAAACGGGTCCCACAGACCCAAACAGCAAACAAAGGTTAAAGGTCAGAATATCATAATGTTAAAATGTGCTAAATATATACACCGCAAAAAAAGAAAAGAAAAGTAAAAGTAGCCCCTGACTTGTTTTATTTTTTTAAAGTAGCCCTCACCCTAAAAAAGGTTGGTGACCCCTGACCTAGTGCAATGCTGCAACGTGTACTTAAAAAAAGGCTATTTCTTCTACTACTGAAGGCTGTTATTCACCCTGGTACACTCGTAACATAAAATATACAGTCGCCTGTGTACTCTAGCTGATATTAAGACAGACACATAGCAAAAGTATAAAGTTGTTTATTTGTAACACGTTGAACAGTTAAAATGCAATAACTGTACAAATGTTACACTGATGACCATGTAACCCTAACTTATACTTTGCATTAAATGCGCTGTCAGCCCGACAACAACTACAAACCTTTATAGTCCATGCACTGAAAAAGAAATACTGATTGAGCTTGCAACAGACAACCCAAAATCTATTTTAGCTGTCTGCTCTAAAAAAACAAACACATTTAGGAAAATAAATAGAAATGACATTGAAGTAATTAGCATCTAATATAATATGTTTCATTTGATGCGTTACACATTTACAGGTCTTGCTTTTTAAAAAAAAACTTTTTCTGGAGTTCAAGTGTTGGCAACCATATGATATTTGAACCTCAATACGTTTTAGTGTTAAAAATAATACAATTGTGGCATTTATTGAAAGGAATGAAAACAATATGAAAAACCACAAAAATGTTGGATTCACAAAAATATGGCACATGATATATCACAGAGTAATTCCATCTGAACTTATTGTATCACAAAGTAGCCTTTGATATGTACAACATTATAGGAACGAAGCATATAAAAGTAAAATGATGCGCTTTTTTTTTTCTTTTTCAAATTTTTACATCAACATTGAATGAAATTACTACCACTAAAAGTGGGAAGTAAACAACCACCAACTTTGCAAAACCTGCAACAACGAAACTGCATTGTCAAAACCGTTTTAAATTAAACATATTTTTACATATTTATTAACGTTTGTATAACAATATTTTTTCGGAAATCCGCTCAGGAAAGACGTTGAAATGGGTCAAACTAACTAATGATTTTTACCCATGAGACCACTGTTCATGTCCCTGGTGAAACCTTAAAGGTGGGGTAGGTAATTTTGGAGAAACCAGCTCGAGTGCACTAGAATTTGAGAATACACAGCCGGATAAAATCTGCCACTTCCTTATAGAGCCCCTCCTCCAACACACACGAACGCGCACATGACCAATGAGGGCACGAGATAAGTTTGTGCACAGATGGAAGGCTGACAGGCAGGTAGGCCATCCAGTTATTTTAGCCGGGCCGGCTCAGATGATTGGTCGTGCTTTTTACAGTACTACGGCTTCCACAGATGAAATCTTTGTATGGATTTTTTGTCAAAGCACTTAATTTTTTGTCAAAGCACTTAAGATATTCATTGCTATCGGGATGTTCAGAGCATTCCATGGAATATAACAAAAAGTGTATCTCGAGCCGGTTTCTCAAACTTACCTACCCCACCTTTAAGTTGACGTTTACATAATTAAATTGGCGTTCGTAATGTAAAACGCAAGAAAAAATACTTAATTTAAGGCAAACCATGATGCTTTTCTTTAACCCAACAAAAAGACTATGTTGCCTAAACTTACCCAAGCAGTTTTGTAGCGTAATTAATTTTTCAATACACAATGTTAACAGCATGTTAATATCTACGATTGTAATCTGCTGAAGATATGTTGCTTCCCTTGAAACAATTGAAAATGCAGCTATGGGTTGCTCTGCAGATCCACATTAGCCTGTTCAAACAAAATCAAACACTGAAAAAAATCTGGCGAAGACAATGGAGCAATTAGCTATTAAAGAGTCAGATATTTTTTTGTGAGTGAATATTAGACTTACATTTATCAACAGGACAAAACACAACTGCAAATAAAGGATAGAGTTTCCCTTTGCCATTTCCACACCTGCAGTCAAGCATATTGTTATGTTCTCTTCCTCCCTCATAGCAAACTTCCAACTAAACCGTTACAGCCCGTCAGAGGAAGCAACACGAGGTCAGAGGTGAAGGCAGGACAGGAGCACAAGCCCCCCACAGACTATTTTAGGACACCTGACATTCAATATTCTTGGGAGAGCAAATCGTTTCCCAAGCTTATCTCTGCCTTCCATTGATTTAGATGAAACTTTGAACATGTCAGAGGTGATCTATGGTGTTACGCTTCCCAAAAGTTCAGGGGTAAGATAGCCGCCTGGTGTCGGCACGATTTTTGGGATTATGAGCTGGGGGGGAGGTGTCGAGTTCGGGGTGAGTAAGAGGCTGTTCTGCCTGTTAACGCACTCCACCACGGTGTAGACGGGAGCAGGGGGAAGAGGGCACACGGTGGTGGTATCTGATTCGTGGTAAGGCGACAGGGACGGGGTCAAACTTGAGTACCCTGCTATCTGGCAGGGTTCACCCATGTCTCCTGAGGACACCCTGGGGCTCCTTTTACCAGCATTGAGCTCAGAGGTGTAGCCTCCATGATCTGGATTCACCACCAGGAACTGCAACTCTTCGTTTTTTTTCTTTTTCTCCAACAGGATTCCTTTCTCTCTGTCTTTGCTCGTGCTTTTTCCCACCTCTGTCTGGTCCTCGGGTGACAGCAGCACCTTGCCAGATGACCTCACTTCACTCACCTGGGTGTACAACGCTTCTCTACCTGGCGCTGCAAAACAATGCTCCCCGGCGTTGGGGTTTGGGACGTGCGAGCTTGTCTCTTCTGAATCTCTGCTTTCGGTAAGATTCGGGATTAGAGGAATGAAAGGAGAGGGCTCCGGTTCGCAGGGGAGGTCCGGATCGCAGCAGCTGGCCCGGCCCGAGTCGTCGTCTCTGAAGCCGATGGAGAGGGGGGAGCAGTTGGAGGTCAAGGAGCGCTCCATGAGACAGTCTGTGTCCAGGTCCGTCAGTCTGTCGCTCTGCTCCTCCATGCCCAGATCGATGAACTCCACCCAGGGGTCTTTGCTGTACAGCTCCGACCTCAGATCAGGGTAGCCACCCAGGATGGATCTCAGCTCCCTAAGCTTCCCTTTCTGAGAGATGAAGAGAAAAAAGAGTTGGTACACATAAGAGACCAAATTCAGATGGTAAAGTAAGGTATTTAGAGGCCAAACGCTAATAATTTGGGTGAAAAAAAATCCCACATCCGACAACCCAACTATCTTGTTTAATTTTCTGAGACCAAATCGAAAACAGTGCAATGTTGTTAATATTTTCCATGGAGTGAGTTATTCAGCTAACCAAAATAGTTGAGGTTGAAGTGTGATGTAGGTGCAAAGATCCTTTGCATAG